CTGGAAATTTTGACACGACACGATATGGAAACATTTTTTGAATTTGTAATTCAACTGCCATTCAATAATTCCTGGAATTTTATACTCAGATGCAGTTTGAAGAATTTTTGAAATTTTGAAAAAGTTTTTAAAAGGCCACAGTCGCAGGTATGGACTTTTCAAAATTGTAATTCATAGTTCGGATTGAAAAAACAGTATCATGGATGTCTCATAGTTCAAAACAATATTGGAACCGACGGGTAAACCGCTGATTTAAACCGTGTACACTATTACTCATGCATAACTACACTACCACAAAGTATTACCCACTATTACTCAGTATTACTCAACTATTACTCTACTATTACTCGGAATTACTCAACTATTCATCGGTATTACTCAAGTATTACTCTTATTACTCAAACCGTGTACATCAAATTACTCCAGCGGTTTACCCCTCGATTGGAACAGAGTATGTCTGTACTTATTGAATTAATTACTCTTTAAATGCGTGCACAGCAATGAAGGGAAACTTTTTAAGAAGTGCTTGCATCAAAGGTCAACAGTAAATATATTCTATCCAGAATTGCGAGAACTATCCCTCCACCTCTGTGTCAAAAAAGTTATTACACTTCCGCGTTCCCCTTTTGTGTACCTATGCATAAAGGTCCATTAAAAAACGTTTTAATTTCTCTTACATTTACGTGATTGAAATGGCGATTACACGGTCAGATTTAATTGCGGCAATTATTTTTCAATCTTCAAATTGGCGGACACGTACAGATAATAAACTCGTTCACTTTAAGGCAAAATGCTTTTCAGTGTTAGATTACTTTATTTACCCCGTTAACGCCACGTTTATTATTGCACGCTTTTAACTTTTTCATGCGATGAAACGGTACCTAGGTATTGTAGCATTCTTTGACGCCATAATCCGTAACCGACGTTGTCATAATACTTAATTATACGCCATGGCTATCCTGGTTACCCGTTTAAACACGGAAAATGTTCCAATTTATAAACAATTAACTGTATCCATCGGCTAATTGCACAAAAGGCGATCCTTTACCACTAATCAACTGTAGAAAAACACGCACGATGCGGACCTAATAAAATGAAATTAAAAAGGAGTTATGAAATGCGCGAATGAAGCAATAAAAAACAATTAGATTCCTCTCGGAGAAGAGCTTATATTCTCGTAATCTGCTCGTAATGCGCAATTTCGTCCCTATAAAACGAAATTGGCTGCCGCTATTGGAAATATAACAAAATTGCTTTAAAGAATTAGAACGAAACAATGTGCCTTTTGCAGATTTTCACTGCAATTCAGGGCCAACTCGTCAAATTAACCCATGTTTCCTTACAAATCTATCTTTCAGCATCCAAAAAAAAGGAATAATTTACGTGAAGCACCTTTCTCTGATGTGAAAACCTATTTTATTAGACCCTTCTTTTACAAGAAGACGACATATAATCATGCATGACCGTAAAGGCCAAATTGGCTCGATTTACAGACACTCTACCGAAAACTTCGGAATCTGTTTGTTCATGCGAGGTTAGCTCTGAAAGCTTCTGCCCATTTCTATTTGGTTTAAATATTCCCCTTATCCGATAGAAAATGTAACGTAAATGGCCCCGGGCACATAACGAATCAGCTTATGTGCAGCAATTTTAATGAAAAGGAATCGTAAAAGTGATCTTTTTAACCGATCGAAGTTTCAAAATTGTCACAAATGGCAGTGGCCAACATAATCAGGTTTAATTAGGTCCTTTAATCAAAAATCCACACTTTCAAGTGCGATAACGTAACAACAATTAGATTTATTTACAATCGACGGAGTCACGCGAAATGGTTAGATAGGTCACATTTTTTGTCTTCTAAGCATAACTAACGACATCCTAGCAACCCCCAAACAGAAATGCATAAACCTTTTTGGGTACGATTTATTGTATACTTCACCATTTTACTTTTCTAATTGAAAATTATCGATTGGCCTATATTTTCGTTTTAAAGCGTGTTGGAATTTTTACTCACAACTTTCACGTTTAAGCGGGGGTGGTAAGATTTGTTTCAATCGGATAAAATGCTCACTTGCGTGGGGTTTTTTTTCGGTGACATTAAAGATTAAGCTCTTTTTAAATACGTAGACGGTTTATTAATTTCGTCCTACCACATTGTACAGTGTTATTTTGGTAAAGAAATTGTTTAATGATTCGTGGGGCCATTTTCATGTTATGGGCGGAAAAGAATTTGTAAATTTTTTATGGTTGCGGCTTTAATGGAGTTGATATAATTCGTAATTATGTGTTTGCGCCAAATGGTTTATTAATAGATAGTTCGACGACGCCGTTTTAATGTTTTTATTACTTTTGGTGTCATGCTGGTCTCGTATATCATTTCATCGTCGCAATGTTCAACTTTTGGGAATCAAATTAAACCATAAAGAAACAATATGGAACGCCGTTGTATCTGTTAATAACTGAACACCCGGACTAAAAAAATTAACTATAATTGACGCAATGGTACTAAAATTTATAGAAATTTACTTTGTTTCACAACAATTGTCTAGTTGAAATTAATAATTGCATATCTTCCAATAACAACTCGCAATAATTTCCTCTTTTACAATTTCAAATAACGGTTTTTGTGCGAAATTTCAAAAACCGTTATTGAAATGGCATATTTAACAATTTCAAATCGGCAGTCTTATTCATATATCACGATTTAGAAATAACGTGTTGAAAATTTTAATGTTCAAAAATTATCGATTTGATATTATTTAATAATCTTTAATATCACCTTCACGCTTTGTAATAATTTTCAATTTCAAGTTGAAATAAAAAATTCAATTCTCTATTTCAAACTCGTAACTTTGGAACGCACAATTTAATTTTTAATATCAACTCTGTGATATTGGTAATTCGATTTACTTATATGTCATGACATATAAAAAATTGTGGCGCCATCTATCGAGTGATGTCAAAAGTGAAGAGCGAACCTCAACCCAACTAATCACGTTTGATGTAATTACCGCGAAAATCTACTTTCAAGTGCTTATTTTATTACCAATATCGTTCATAAATACATTGTGCGAATAATATTGTCAAAAAAAATGTACAATTACGCGAAATGGAGATTTTAAATTCTGTTCCGATTATTAAACTTACTGTCGCTAGAGGGCAGATCAATTTGCTATATGTGATTTAAAAATATCGCCTTGATATTTTTAATTCATTCACCAATATGTGCGACTTGATATTTTTAATCTATTGCACAAATTACTAATTTCTACTTGGAATTTTTAAATACTCTGCGAAGTTCGCTATTTGAAATTTATAATTGTAATTCTTCAATTATGGTGTTAAGTTTGTTAATTCAAACGTATTTCATGATATCGACTTTGTATTTTAAAACAATTTTTTATTTCAAAACTATTATTATTTAGAGTTGAAATATTAATAAATTTCATTGATTCCTTTGGTTGGATGTTCAATCCACAACATAACGACAATTTTCAATTACTTGTTTCAAGTAATATCCATCCCTATTAATTTATTCCTCCACAATGAAGA